CATAATTCAGTTCCCATTTCTCACAGTCAGTATTCCCCCTGCTCTCAGACGTGGTGTGTATGAACCTGGCTGCCCGCAGAGCGAAAAGCTTTAAAGCATCAAAGATCCCCAGATTCCAAACGCACTTAGTATCTACCTTATGTCTTTGTGTGTCAACATATGCACATTTCAGTTTGATATCCTGTCACTATAAAGCTGTTTGTCCTGTTGTCTTTGCAGAGGAAACAGCTCTTGGAAAATGAAGCCTTATGCCAAACAATTTGAACCAAAGCAATCCAAAACCTTAGGAGATACAGCCTGTGAAAAAAAAAATGCCAGAAATAGGGCTTATTTAGTCTAGGGGAGTACATGACTACTGCCTCAAATATGAAGAGGTTACTTGGAGAATAGCAGGAAAAAAAAGCAACACTTTTTTTTTTTTTTTTGAAGTCAGTGGGTAGTGTAGCTAGAAAAAAAAAAGGATTTTTATTTCAACAAGGGAGTCTTCAGAAGATAGCAGAGAGAAATGTTCAACACTAAGCATAATTAAGAGCCAGAAGACATAGCCTAGGAGACTGAAAATCTACAGTGATGGGAGAGAGATTTCTATGGCACCGCAGCTGTCAAGAAATTGGTTGTTTGCTTCAAAGAGAAACTGACATTGAATAGATACCCTGAGAATCATAGAAAGCACGTCTGGAAAATACCTTCATAAATTGTCTTGTCTATCCTCTAGCCCCAAAACAGCTTCAGCTAACTATACATAAACAATTCCTAACACACGTTTGCCTAGCTTGTGCCCTAGCTCCTCCTCCCCAAAGTGTAAACAGAATTAAGGTGATTCACTAAGTTTTGTTGAGCAAAAACATATTTTTATATCAAATGAAACAGGCCATGCAGTATGGAAGAGAACATGTCTCTGCCCTGTAGGAAAATCAGTTTATTAGAATGAACGAGTTGCTAGTGTCTGTCTCTGTTCAGTAGCTTAGAGGATTGGGTATCCACTCAATGCATGGAATATCTTAAGTTACCAGTTCCATTTCCCGAAATGTCGGCAATTCTCATGCTGCACAGGAGTGCCCAACGAGCAGAGGACTCCCAGGGATCAACTTCGTTGCACTGGTGAGGCAGGCGGAAGAACCACCGTTTCAGGTTCACTTCAGCAGTGAGACAGAGCCAGTTCTTCTGACTTTGCCAAAAGTGTTTCATGTTTTAAGCATTCATGGAGTGAAAAATGGCCTTCTGGTGGTTAGGATACTGCATGCGGTTAAGAAATCTTGGAAAGGCAGGAACAACTTATCAAAAAGTACAAACACCTGACTCCAAATGGTCTCTCAGATGGGCTGGTTTATTCCTGAGCAATAAGGAATGTTTATTGCAGTGTAAAACTTCCATCTTACTAGACTTTTTTTACGTATGTAAATATTTTCTTAAAAATGTTAAAACCATATTTAGTTGGTCTTTTATTGGAAAAATCAATTTGATACTTACAATTGCTTAAGTGTATAACATAGCCCCTGATTAGCATAAAAGATTTTAAGTATATTTAATCATATACCAAAAGCTTACATTTTTAATCAAATAATTGCTAATATTATTAGCTTAGTATCAAGCTGCCTCATGATATAATTTTAAAAACCTCAAAAAGCCACAGCAACTTCCCCCCAGGTCAAGCCACATGGTACATGCATTAAAGAACCAGTGCAATAAAAAGTGTTAATTCCACACTGAATTAACAGTTTCTAGTTACCATCACCAAAACTTCAGAGCTAATTACATATTTTGGATTCATACAAAATTTCCTACTCTTCCTCTTCCATAAAAAAGGAAGATTATTATTAAAAGCTGAAAAATCATCAGGAGTCTGAAGAGTGAAGATAAACTGTTTTGTGTCCTAAAATAAATAGTATGTATTTAATCATGTAACTGTAAAACTCCCAGTGATGTATCACTTTCAGGAACTTTGGCTGAAGATACTGGCAGCAGTTTTTCCTTCATAAGGTGTTTATCTGTTTTGTTTTGAGATATTAGCTGCAAATCTGTGTTGTTTGGCTACTTAAATTAGATTTTACAGACCATAGTAATACACATCCTCTGTTATTTCACAGTTCGGAAGGAACAGCTGTCTTCCTTCCTATAAAGTTCTTAAGCACTCTGCTGTAGTAGGAATTCCTACCATCATTTCCAAAAGTTTTGTTAATCTGGCTCCAAAACAAGCTTGATCTGAATTCATGTGTTTTAAGTGCTCAAAACTACTTTAACAAACGCCAGTTCCATAAAATGAAACTGCACAGCTATACCTAGCTCTTTTCATCTTGTCCTACTCAGATTCAAACATGCAAAATCCCTATGGAAATGGTGACTAGCCTTTAACTTTGTCTTTACCTGTGGAAAACAAATGCCACGAACACCAAATCAAGCCAATAAACCAAGTCAACAAACTGTTCAAACGTATCATTCAAATCAGCACCTTTTATTTTGTGATATGGAAAAAAGTAAGTCAGATTAAAAGCAGCGAGAACAGCATGCTCTACGTTAAAAAAAAAAAAAAAAAAAAAAAGTTTTCTTCCAAGAATCTCCTTGGACGAAAGTGGTCCAGACCTAGGAAAAAGATATGTTATGTAAACCTTTCAACGCTCCACCAAGATAAGGAGAGAAAAGCAGCAAGGTAAGTTCCCAAAGCGGTGGCAGGGTGCCAGCCTTGGAGGACAGGGGCTCTCACAACGCAACTCATGAGAACTCGCAGGCACGAAAGCACATTGAGAGCTAATGCACAACACACTCTGCGACAGAAACATCTAAGAAACTCCTCAGCCAGCTCTAAACCAATGTATCCAAGACATGGACCAGCTGGCCAAAGAACAACTTTAAATATCCAAGTTATTTAAATTGGGATTTTAAGTTGAGTTATTTAAACAAGAATAGCGATTTGCTTGTCCCTTCAGCCACACCAGAATAAATACAGCACTCGGGACAAAGCTCCTGCACAGGCAGTTTGAGGAAGGAGGGAAGTGACAAAAAAACTCAAATCCTCAGAGACACGCATGTACGTCAGCTCCTGCCTGTGCCAAGCATGCTCAGCAGCCTGGCCTGACCACGAATAAAGAGAGCTAACGAGCCTGGAGAGGCGCCAATCAGCATTAGAGAAATTATGTGCCAGGCCAGAGAGTCAGCTAATCCACAGGAAGCCTGTGAAAAACACTCCACAAGAGCTGCCGGAACTCGCAGCTACCCGCTGCCAAAGGCTTCCTACCCTCAGAGGAGTTTTAAAGTTTGGCTCTGAGATACTGAGCACAAGACTGCTGCCCAGGATGGTTAGAGGATGACAGAAGGGAAGGGAGAACAGTGGAAACTGGGAATTTGTTTTCATGCAGCCCTACTCTGAAGCTAGGAAAGAGGGCAGGGCGGCTTCCTCCGCTGCAGGTTCGAGCTGGTCATTCAGTGCAGGTAAATAAACGTACAGGGTAGGAGAGCTGGTCAAAAGCACAGGGCATAAGAGAAGTGGATGACACTGGCAAATGCAGACAGCTGGCACACACTTCAGAAGAGAGTTGGCATCTTCAATTGTATTAAAAAAATAAATCAGACTTTCATTTACACTATAATCCAGAGAATGTCAGGATTATATATACGGCTAGACCCTATACTCAGCCACACAAGTGCAATTTCGTATGTTGTCATTAAGGGCAGGACTTCCCTCCAACCCAGCTGTTATCCTACCTCAACAGCCCCAACAGCAAGAAGCACCCAGACATTTGCAAATTAAGTCCCATGTGAGAATTATGGCCTGAGAAAGGCAAGACAGACGGACTTACCGGCACGTGCAGTTTGGGTTTGACACCTGGCAGAATGTGGGCAAGCTCAACAACGGGATGCCAGTTTGTGAGGGGAAGACAAGAGCAGTGTTCAGAGAAGTCAATTCTACAGAGCCATACGTGAATACCCAAACGAACAGAAACCCAAAACATGGGGATTTGCAGTGATATAAAGCAATAATTGTGATGATCAAGAAGTCATTTAAATAATATTTCTTCCAAGCAGAGCTAACATCACTTTGGCACTAATATATACATATATTTTAATACACCAATTACCATAATCCTCACTTCAGCAATGTCTTTTTTTTTTCTCTAAAAAACAAAAACAAAAGAAGCAAAACCAAAACAACAATAACAACAAAATGTCATTGGATTCCTCTCTTGGCACAACAAACACTGCTCAAAAGCCACACGTTGGCTTCTTTGCCCCCCTCATCTGTTTTGACCATATCCAAAACATCAGCCTCAAGAGACTGAAGCCAATAGCTGCTCCAACAGAGAGGCCCATAGAAGCTGCAGGTACTCGACACCTCTCTGAACTCCAGCCCCCCTCAGAAGCATCGTTCTGGAACAGGAAAACTGGACGGACTGTTCATGAGACCGGGTGGAGGCACTAACACCACTGCCAGGAGGCAGAGCCTGTCAGAGCCCCCGTTTGCCCTTGCTGCCTACAACACCATCATGAGAGATTTCCAGCAAGGTGGTGTGTCTTAATAGCCAGGAATGGAGGGAAAGCAAAAGGGCAAGATCTCCCTCCACATGGGCAACACCCTGATATCTCTCTTGCACCACATATGGCAAAAGCAACAGGCTATCCAAAGTGCCTGGGCATTATTCTGGAAAGCAGCTGTAGACAAATATGCAACTCAGGGCCTCCACTACCTCCAGTAAATCAGAGCTTTTATTTGTACTTTATCTGTGTTCCAGGGTGTGTTGGCGTCCGCACAGCAAGACTTTGCCAGACAGCTTCAGCCTGCTATTAGAATGGAAAGGCAGCTCCAAAGTACTTCTGCCAGCACTGAAATACAGTTGCAAACAGGAGAGCACAACTGTTCTGCAAGAGGCTCCGGAACAGGTAAGACACAGATGACAGCAGGATATTGTCACTAGCCCAACTCCCTGTTAACATTGGTACGTGATCCACTAGGTTTCTAGCTTGTTTATTAACACAGTGAGAGTTTAACGGGCTAAAGTTTTACCCACCGAAAGCAGGAACTGTGCCAAGCTTCGTTAACAGTCCTGTAGACACGCTGACCAGCAGCGATGCTGTCCCCACATCCCAGGCATCTCCAGACCTCGTCACCTGCGGGCAGGAATAAGGTGAGCTAGAGCAACCATTTGACATAGAAGGAAACAAGGAACCCCATGTCCCTCACAAAGAACATTCTTAAATTACGTAGCTAACATCAAAGTCTTCAGGCACAGAAAGTTACCAGCCACGCCATAACACCAGAGACGGAAGTTTCTAAATTCAACATCTAATATACTATTTTTTTTCCTTGCAGATCTGACACCATCAGCTTCCTCACATTCTGCAGAAGAAAGCAATATTATTTTTCACAAGGCCAGGAAGCCAAGCTACTGTTTCCCCAATGCCACTGACTCAGCACATAACATTTGCACTCATTTGTATAATTAACTGGATTTCCCAGAAGAGAAAGAAAGGCAAACTTTATTCAGTACAGAACAACTTGACTACCAGGAAGGAATTACACACTTGAATAGATATTCCAGTAGAGACCGTACAACAAGCACCAGACTAGAGCCAGATTTCAAGAGAGGGGCAGATGTTATGAGCCTAAAATCCCCTCAGAAAAAGAGGGCTGTAGAGAGTCAAAAAATTGTGATAGCTTCTGCTAGAAGGGCCAGCCTCCTCCTCGCCCCAGACTGCTAGTTCTTTAGGGGCATGCCTAAAAAAAATGCTGGAAGATCCTTGCACAAAGTGTTTGGCACAGACGTAAATGCTATCCCAAATCCAAACAGATACATGTACCGTCTTAAAGGAAGATTCCAGGATCTGAATCTAGCAAAAGGAACAGGTTACACAGCTGCTTGGTGGATCTCAAGTGTCTGTCTTCCTGCTAGCAGGAGGTTCCCTCCAGTAAAGTTACATAAAGGAAAAAAGAATGCTCAGAGAGAAGGAAAACCACTAACCACGGACTTCCAATTTTCAAAGAAGAGAAAAACTCAGCAGTCACTCAATTATCCCTTCTTTCTAAAGCATACATTAAAGGAGACAGTTTTTCTCCAGGATCAATTGCAAGTATCAAATATTTGCAACTGGGTGGAGTTGCACACTTGCAAGTGGCGAGCGGTCAGACACACTCAGCTTCCTTCTGTAACTTCAGCCTGTAACTTATACAGATATAAGATAGCTCTTGAACAGACCAAATCCTTTTCAAGCTTTTTCCTACAGTTACTCCCCCTGCAAGCTCACATAAAAGAGGCAGAACTCCTACCTGCTAACCATTTGTGACACGAACCTCAAAACAGCTATTAGAGAATCCACAGGCTAGGAATCACTTGGGATATGCAAGTTCAGCACAGGAAGAGCCAATGCTACTGCCAGGGTTACAGTTTTCACATACTCCCCAGACTCTGAATGGCCAAGTCAAGACCAGACAGGTCCAAATGGCCACTCCAGGCAATTGTCACTCTCCAGAAATGACTCAGCTACAGCAGAAGTGGGCAGCTGTACGAGGCCAAAGGAAGCTGTAGAAGGTCAACACGTTAACATTCATTAAGCCAGTCTCAGTACCACAGGGAAGACAACTTCTCTTCTCATAGTTTCTCGTTAGTTGTATGGTTTAAGCTGAGAGAATGTTACCCTGCCCAACAAACACAACTCAACATACAGCCACTAGATAAGGGCCTTATCAGAAAAATAGCAGAAAGATGACAACGTTTAGTGCACCGGTAACGCATCAGCTTCGTGGAGGACTCTGGGACTACTTGACGAAAGCCCCTGTGACAGCAACCACAAAGGCAACATTTGAAATATACTGTGACTGCAACATGGGTGGGTGAAGCATTACCTGGAAACAACCTGTGGGAGTTGAAAACAAAGAACAAGGAACCAAACCAGGAATGCAAACAAGAGGAGGAAAAACTCTGGATTCAGCAATCAATATAAAAGCTAAATAATCAGCAAAGACTACGTAGAGGTGCTCATGGCAGCATACATTCCTCTTTCTCAACTACAGTTTTCTAAGCATTAAAATATTGAAGCCAAGTTCCTTGAAGCTACACACAGCAGAGGGCAGTCAGCTCCCCTGCACTCCCTGCCCACTGTGTGGGCCAGCTGCAACACAGAAAAATAACATACGGGGAGATGTCCCGATGTGTTTCTGCTGGAGCACAAGCCAGCACCACCCTTGGTAAGCGATGAGCAGCACCCAGGAAGGTCTCTAGGGGGGCTACACTGCTAGATAGGATGGCTCAGTTTGGTGTAACCCGCAACTTCATTTCCCAAGAAAGCTCCAACTCGGGACCTGGGAGTGATTCTGACTGGAGCAGAGCGAATCCCAGCGGAGCCGGGACACACTCACAGGGAGCCTGCGCTTTTTCACGCGTCTCTGAAAGGAAACTCTCCTCAACATACTAAAAGAGGCTGAGAAGCGAGAGGCAGATCCACAAACCCACCCGCTGTGGTAGGGCGCTAGGAGCTCTCCTCCCGCAGCAGACACGTAGCCCGAGAGGGGCCCCAAGCCCTTCTGCCCCGCCGTAGCTGCTGCAGCCCCAGGAGAGCCCGCTGAGCCGCTCGGAGCCCGTGGCCGCAGCACGGCCAGGGCTGAGGCGGGGAAGACGCAAGCGGAGGAGCGCGCAGCTTTGCACGCGAGCGCCGGGCGCCGCGACGCTGAAGGGTCAGCTACACCCAGCAGGGAAGGGAAGGGACCGTCCCCACATCCGACCGGGACCGCGGAGGAGATGGAAAAGCCAGAGCAGGAAGCAGCGAGGAGAAGCGAGCGGGCACGACCGCGCATGGGGCAGGGGCCGGCTCCCGCGGCCG